GAGAGAGAGAGAGAGAGAGAGAGAGAGAGAGAGACACAGTTGACACTGGCATTCACAAGACACCACTGTTTTGCAACTAGAACTGAAGTGGCAGAGTCAAGTGTACTCTACAAAAGTTAAATACGGCAGTAACGGGTGTATAAATTACATCTCTTAAATTTGTGATCATCAGGGCAAATGGGGTGGGGGGGGGAGGACCTTTGACAAGCCGCCTGCTTCCTGTCCTCGTCGAGGCCACTACTGTTAGTAACCCTCAGGTAAATGAAATATGGTTAAAGTTAAGTACGCGGCCTGTGGTCCGAGAACTAGAGCTCCTCTAGTTACTATGGATGGAAGCACAAAATATAAACTTTTCGGGGTTCTCGTGTGAACCCCGAAAAAATATACGGCACGCATAGACGAGATAAAACACCTAAAATATTGGGATCGTCTTAAAGCTCTACAAATGTACTCACTAGAAAGGAGACGAGAGAGATACCAAATAATATACACATGGAAAATACTGGAGGGACAGGTCCCAAATCTACACAGTAAAATAACAACGTACTGGAGTGAACGATATGGAAGCAATTGCAGAAAGAGCCAGTGAAGAGCAGAGGTGCCATAGGCACAATCAGAGAACACTGTATAAACATCAGAGGTCCGCGGTTGTTCAACATCCTCCCAGCTAGCATAAGAAATATTCCCGGAACAACCGTGGACATCTTCAAGATAAAACTAGATAGTTTTCTTCAAGAAGTGCCGGACCAACCGGGCTGTGGTGGATACGTGGGCTTGCGGGCCGCTCCAAGCAACAGCCTGGTGGACCAAGCTCTCACAAATCACTAGCCTGGCCTCAGGCTGGGCTTGGGGAGTATAAGAACTCCCAGAACCCAATCAAGCAAGCATTTACTCATGTGAACTTTTGCACACAAAAATGTCAACGTTTTGTACTATTAATTTTGTAGAGGAGCTGAAAAGATGGCAACAACCAGTCCTAACTTTTCCTAAGCCTATAGTACATATATGTGTGGTAAATTAAGCTTCAGATTGTACATGTTAGACGTAGGATTGTTTATTTAGGCTTAGAAGTCAGGTTAGTATTTCATATTTTGTTATGACTTTTAGAATTCCAATCCAACAAAACGTTAACTTTTTTTCCAACGGTCCACATTGTGTATATTCTATCCATAATAGCTGCTTTTGGGAGCATGGGTTGGCAGCTGAGGTGGGAGGAAATTACAGATTTCCCCAACATGCAGCAGAAACCTTTGTCGGGGAGCAGTTGTCTCTGCTTGCACACCAGATCCTAAAATATCTTAAATCTACCCGTCTGAAGAGGCTGGCAGCCATCTCGACTCAGGTAAACGTATTTGGCCCCCAAAATAATGCATAAGCATTTTGTTGTGTGACATGACTTATTGAGTGAACAGTTTCTGGCGGTTTCTGACAATTTTTCACGATTAAAACCCTTCTCGCGAGTACATCTTGGGTGTTTGGATAGAATACTTGATTAAAATGTTTTTTTTTTTTAAGGGAGAGGGAGAGGGGGAATAACGGACACGTGGGCAGGAGGGGGACGAGGAGGAGGAGGGGGGGGATGGACGAGAAGAGGTGAAGCAAAAATGTGAAAATTCAGTTCGAGAAAGCCATTTATCCTTGACACCGGGTATTGTCAGTATATACATCTCCCACACCAGCTGTCACTCCGGTATCAGCGGTACTGATACCGGAGGCAGGCTGTGAGTGACCCGGCCTGCCTCACTCCTCATCAATCAACCCTCACGACAAACGACAAAGGAAATTGTTTTCACAACAGCCTCACATCCGAGGAGTTAACTGCTGATGACACTCGACTGTTCGACTCTCTCAATTCTTTCAGGAGACAATCGACGTTGTTGATTTGGAAATTTCGGCTTGAATGTAAAGTTTGAATAATGAATTTACAGATAATTTTCAGTTTCTCTTAATACAAGACTTTTGCACATACAAAGTCGGTAACAGAAGTTCAAGCCATCTTGGGTAGACAAAAGATTCCATAGGATTATTAATCTCTGTGTGAAAAAAACATCCTTTTGTCAGTATTACTTTGAGGGTTGAGCTAAACGCTCTTGTCTTCTGTTGGACATTTTTAAAGTTGTTTGGATTAACGTTTGCTAACTTGTTCCGTGTGTCAAGAGTGTTGTGTTGAGGGCATCAGTCCCTCCCCTGTTTGAGTGTCCACTTAGTACTGCTCAGTACTAAGTGGACACTTAGTACAATTCAGCTTAGTACTTAGTACCACTTAGTACAATTCAGCGCAGAGCCACAAAGTGACTCTGCGTTGAATTCTTACCAGGATGATAAAGTGTATTTGTAGTTTGGAGGGGAAAAGGGGGGTGGGGTCACGATGTTTGAACAGTAGTGCACGGTGGGGTCACTATGTTTGGACACAAGGGACTCGCCCATTATATTAGCCACAGGTTCTATGCCTGCAAGTCAAAGGTGTGTTTGATTATTCATGTAAATTTTAGTTTATCTTGTTGTAAGTTATATATATTCATATGAAGTTAACGTTATTGTTGAGAACGGAAATAACAACATAATTACACAACACAAAGAATAATGAGTTTTTAACGTTATTGCCAATATAATAATCTTTGCTCATAATGAGTTGTGATTATCATAATTTCAGCCCATCCTCCTGTTTCGAAAGTACTTTTAGTACCGATGTGGACCATCTGCCTGGATGGGGTTCTGGGAGTTCTTCTACTCTCCAAGCCCGGCCCGAAGCCAGGCTTGGGGTGTAAGAACGTTTGGTCCACCAGGCTGTTGCTTGGAGCGGCCCGCAGGCCCACGTATCCACCACAGCCCGATTGGTCCGGCACTTCCTGAAGAAAACTATCCCGTTTTCTCTTGATGTCCACGGATGTTCCAGCAATATTTCACAATTTGGACAAACTGGAAAAGGATTTGTATTTATGATGCTAATAAAACCTAACCATTCTAGGCCTAATACACGCTATCTGAGGCCTAACATAGCATACATGTGTGCGATATCGTACCATTGATGTTCAATGACTCACATAGTTACAAAAGGTACTGTCTAAAGAGGAAGATGGTTAGGTTAGGTATTATTTATAATGAGTCTTACTCTTGCCATTCACATAATCTACACCATTAACACACATAAATAGAAATCCAGTTGTATGACTTCTACATCAGCGGTGGTCTAGTGGCAGAGTATGCGCCTAGCAGTGTCTAGGTCGAAGGTTCGCGCCCACCATATTGTCCTTGTGGAGTTTCCTCATCTTCATCATTATCACTGAGCCACGGGGACTGGGGGGCACAGTGGTAATACACTAGCCCCGCGCTTAGCAAGCGATTTGGCCTGGGTTCGTATCCTGGCCGGGGAGGATTGACTGGGCGTTCCTTAACTCTACGCTTCTGTTCACCCAGCAGTGAATGGGTACCTGGTTGTTAAACTAAGATTATTAAGATTAAAAAATCTTAAAATTAAGATTAAAGAGTGGCCCGGAACGCTCTGCGTGCTAATGGCTTTACAAGAATGTAAGAACTCTTGTGTATATATATATAACAAAAATTAATATATAATTATAATATTATATCGTGATCTTGCAGTGAATTGACGAGTTATAGTTCTCTTTACAACGTTTTCTCTTAATATTTCACTCTTGTCTTCTAGCTGCCGCCTCTGCTCCCTATGGGTGGGGGGAGACTGTAATATTTGTGTATTTTTGTTTATTGTATCTAATTCTGTATCTGTATTATTGCCCGTTTTAAGACTTTACAAGTTATATTTTATTTTGTATTAACATAAAGCTAGGTTAGATAAAAACAAGTGTTTTATGCATAATGCCTAGGCCAGGTTAGTGTGGCTTGGGGAGAACTGATGTTATGAAGCTAGTGAAGTGTGTCTTAAGGAGAAGCTTGAAGCACAATGGCGTTGACACCAAGCCCGTTCTCGCGAGCGTTCCCAACGTCAAGAAACCGTCGTACTAAAGTACCTTATCCTAACCTACCAGAGGACCCACGAACAGAAAACGGGACATTATAACATTTTGGCACGAGCAAGTCAATGTCTGACTTGAGCTGGTAAGGCTGATAAGTGCCTTAATTACACTGAGAGAAGTCTTAAAGCTGGGGATTGGTGAGAGCTAATTCGTTTAGGTAGAACAGGGAATCCCAGATGAGTTAAAAGCAGATCCATTGCTTGGTGGCTTGTAGAGGCTACGAGTGATGAATGTGTCACTTGAGTGTGAATATCTAAGACCTGTGACGTGGCGCCATTCTAAACCTGACATAATGGTCTAATATAATACTGAGGGTTATAAACACTTGACGCTGCTCTGGATCGTACAGTTAATGTATGACAGAAGTTAGTCTTGTACCGTGTTTCTTGTGTAATAGTCTGGTCCAATGGTTATTTTCATCAGCTACGAACGGTGCTCAATACATGACTGCTTCACTACCTTTTACAGACCTATTCGTTGTCGGCAGGAATTACAGAATTCTAGTTTTTGAGGATTTTAATAGTAATTTGAAAATAAACTTGATAGATAATTATTGGCATGATGTAAGCCAGGTCAGAACTATACATAATTTGTGTCCAAACAAAGAAAGTTTGATGTAAAAATAATCTGCTTTCTCCTGCACCAAGGAGGGAATTTGTGGTTAATGACGTGTGGTGATCTGTTAACATATAAAATGCTTCTTCTGGAGTCGACACACAGTGTATATAATAGTTCCTCCATTTATGTCAAAGTTGTACACAGAGGTGTAGCCTAAATTTTTTTTTTTTTAAATTTTACCCCGAGGGGCGAGTTTATTGGGCAGCGCCACTCTAAATCTCAGCCTATCTACACTTAGTCGACTTTAAAACTTTGCATTTATTTTCTGGTTAGAAAATCGGAACGTTATTGACCCCTGGCAGCAAATATTTAGTCACGAGATCAGTGTTGACGTTGTAGCGGAGGCCAGGTAGATTGAGGTTATTAACCATGTACCATTTCTGCCGTCAGTGTCGCCTACGAGCATCAGCATGGTGGGCGTGGGGGACGGGGCGGTGGTGGAGGTGCGGGCCGGCCACGACCTCTCGCTGGAGTGTCTGGTGACGGACGCCAGGCCGCCCCCCACCCTCGCCTGGTACAGGGACGCCATCACCCTCCACAAAGGTAACATTTATTTAATGTTTATAAGTACAGTGGTGTTTCTGTGCGTGTAAATGGTTTGTTTTCGCCAAATAACTAACAATTCTAGCGCGTAAACCCCTTCAAATGAGGTTTTACAATTTGGTGTGGTACTTCCAGCTTATAACATTCGCTTAAACTGGTCGGTAGAGCGACAGTCTCGCTTCTTCGAGGGTCGGCGTTCGATTTCCGATGGTGGAAGTGGTTGTGTACCGTGTCTTCACTCCGTCCTCGTGCTCCAACTCCTTCTCCTTATATTCCTTCTAAGTGCTATATAGTCGTACTGGTTTAACAATATCTTCTCATAATTGCCTTGCTTGCTCTTGTAGCTTATAATGCTGTTTTAATACGGAAATATATCGCCTTTTCAGTCGAAGAGTCAAAGAGTGGTGAAGGGAAAGGGCGGGAGTGTGATGGAGGGTGAGGAAGGGACGGGGGCGAGGACGGGACGGGGCCGAGGACGGGACGGGGCGTGAGGAAGGGACGGGGCCGAGGACGGGACGGGGCCGAGGAAGGGACGGGGCCGAGGACGGGACGGGGCCGAGGACGGGACGAAGGCGAGGACGGGACGGGGCGTGAGGAAGGGACAGGGCCGAGGACGGGACGAAGGCGAGGAAGGGACGGGGCCTAGGACGGGACGGGGCCGAGGACGGGACGAAGGCGAGGACGGGACGGGGCGTGAGGAAGGGACGGGGCCGAGGACGGGACGAAGGCGAGGAAGGGACGGGGCCTAGGACGGGACGGGGCCGAGGACGGGACGAAGGCGAGGACGGGACGGGGCGTGAGGAAGGGACGGGGCCGAGGACGGGACGAAGGCGAGGAAGGGACGGGGCCTAGGACGGGACGGGGCCGAGGACTGGACGGAGATGACTCTTGTCTTCATTTCATCTTGAGAAGTAACGCCGGAACCTCACGCTTTGAGCACTGTAAGTCACCCTCGTCGCTTGCCTTTGCCTCTCTCACATTTCTAGTGTTATTGTATACACACACATGTGTACTTCCACATGATGGAGACTGTGGTGGTTTCTGGCAGTAGTGGGCAGCGCAGGAGTCACAAACATCACATTTTACCTCTTACTATTAGATAACCACATATGGCGCCTGTGCTGGGACACATATGGTTCGATAATAAGTGTAGCAAACAGTCAAGTTTATGTGCAGCCAGTGGGCGACGTTTTGTGCTATGAGGACCAACAATTTTAATAGTTTGGTGAATAGCGGCTAGCTTAGAAAAAGTGGAATACTGCGAAGCTTTATTCCCAAGTTGGGACATAGCAGGGACCTCCTCCTGGGAACCCTCTTCGATAACGAGAGAGAGAGAGAGAGAGAGAGAGAGAGAGAGAGAGAGAGAGAGAGAGAGAGAGAGAGAGAGAGAGAGAGAGAGAGAGAGAGAGAGAGAGAGAGAGAGAGAGAGAGAGAGAGAGGAAAAGAGAGAGAAGAGAGAGAGAGAGAGAGAGAGAGAGAGAGAGAAGAGAAAGAGAAATAGGGAGAAATAGGTATTTAGTCCTGCTGAAGACGTTGATTTCCAGAGAAGCCTCGTCAGGTCCCGACAAATCCCCCCGCCATTATCGACAACGTGTTCCTCTACACGAACGAGGCTTATAGCGTGCCTCGCTGACAGATACTGGGAAGCTCTTTAATAGATTTGGAAGAAAAAAAAATGAAATTTCTTCCTCGTTAAGCTGCTTGGATGTGTTCGTCGCAACGTCCCCGGGCGTGTGGTGAGGAGGAAGGGGGGGGGGGAATGTCTGGGTTTCCTGTGTGAACATTTCCTGAGAATAGTTGATGGGGGTCAGCTAGTGGGGTCAGCTGGTGGGTATAGACACCCTCTTTACGGCTCTCTAAATTACGTTTCACAGTTTCGTTCAACCATGGTTTCTTGAAGATATTTTTCTCTACCAACATTTCATCTTAAATTCAATACCAACTTCCAGATCTCCCGTGTATATATACAATGCATATATTCACCGAGTTGACTGTGGTGGGGGTGAGAGTGTGAGAGAGGGAAGAGAACCTTCTGTATTTCAAGCGTGACCTCATGTGTGCAGGGATCATGTGTAGTATGCAGGCGAGGAGTCACAATAACGTGGCTGAAGTATGTTGACCAGACCACACACTAGAAGGTGAAGGGACGACGACGTTTCGGTCCGTCCTGGACCATTCTCAAGTCGATTGTGCATTCCATTCTCACAATCGACTTGAGAATGGTCCAGGACGGACCGAAAGGTCGTCGTCCCTTCACCTTCTAGTGTGTGGTCTGGTCATCATGTGTAGTACATCCAGTGAACGAAGTTTAGTGTTTCCAGCAGATATTGTTTGTATTGAAAACAAAATGAATGATATTTTGTTCCGTGTTCCTTTTTTTTAAACTTTTGAACAAGGCGTTTTATATATAATATACATATATTTTATATATTTTTATATATAATTTTTTTAGAGTACCACTTCTGGCTGGAAGAAAGGGGCCCTTAGCCTCGGAGAAAAGCACACATAACGAATTAGAGGGAAGGTTTAAGTCCCCCTCCAATACCGTTCTTTTGTCCAACCACCCCCTTCCTTATTTTGATGTGTTTTATTAGATATTTAAAGGTTACAAAATGTACATTGGTTAATACAATGAGTGTTTAAAGGTTATGGATCACTTGGAGCTCCTCCGCTTCCGGACAGGAACCGAGGACGCAGCAAACGTTTCCCCTCTGGATCGCCACACTGAGACGCTGAAACAAAAAACTGGCAGCTCTTGGGTCTCTGGTGATGTCAATGAGCTTGGAACCCAATTCTTTGAGAAATCCCAAGGCACTCTTGCCCCAGGGGCCATGCGTCTCAGACGCTATGGGAACAAAGGTGTATTGACCTTCCAGTCGCCTGTATTTAACTGATTTTGCTGTTTCTCTGTGGTTGGCCGCCCTATATACCTGCTTGATCAGCACCGAAGTGTATATAGGTATCAGCCAGGGTAGATACACATGTGTAGTTCCATACCAGCTGTCTGCCCCCTCTTCCAGGGGTATATTGTGATGCCATCTGGGCGGTACGAGGATATCCTGAGGTACGAGAATATCCTTGGGGTACGAGGATATCCTTGGGCACGAGGATATCCTGGGATACGAGGATATCCTGGGATACGAGGATATTCTGGGGTACGAGGATATTCTGGGGTACGAGGATATCCTGGGATACGAGGATATCCTTGGGCACGAGGATATCCTGGGATACGAGGATATCCTGGGATACGAGGATATTCTGGGATACGAGGATATTCTGGGGTACGAGGATATTCTGGGGTACGAGGATATTCTGGGATACGAGGATATTCTGGGGTACGAGGATATTCTGGGGTACGAGGATATTCTGGGGTACGAGGATATCCTGGGATACGAGGATATTCTGGGGTACGAGGATATCCTGGGATACGAGGATATCCTGGGATACGAGGATATCCTGGGATACGAGGATATCCTGGGATACGAGGATATTCTGGGGTACGAGGATATTCTGGGGTACGAGGATATCCTGGGATACGAGGATATCCTGGGATACGAGGATATCCTGGGATACGAGGATATCCTGGGGTACGAGGATATTCTGGGGTACGAGGATATTCTGGGGTACGAGGATATTCTGGGGTACGAGGATATCCTGGGATACGAGGATATTCTGGGGTACGAGGATATTCTGGGGTACGAGGATATCCTGGGATACGAGGATATCCTGGGATACGAGGATATTCTGGGATACGAGGATATTCTGGGGTACGAGGATATTCTGGGGTACGAGGATATCCTGGGATACGAGGATATCCTGGGGTACGAGGATGACCCAACATTTGCTTGTCCCCTGCACAGGTCTTCACCAGGAGATGGTGGAAAGGTCGAGACTGCCTGGCAGGTGGACGGTGAGGAGCCGCCTCCTGGTGCATCCTGAAGCTGAGGACGACGGTCAACAGTACTCCTGCCGCGCCCTGCACCCCGCCCTGGCCCGCTCCCCCACCTCCCTCGTCGCCTCCGTCAACCTGGCTGTCTTACGTGAGTTATGGAGGGAGACTCCCGCTTACTTTTTGTGCACGTGCTCATTGTATCCTGTCTCGTGTGGGTGTGGGTGTGTGGGTGTGTGGGTGTGGGTGTGTGGGTGTGGGTGGGTGTGTGGGTGAGCTGGTGGGCGGGGACGCCATCGAGTATGAATATCATTGGCAATTGACACACATGATTATCTATATATATTAAAAAAATATCAAATTCTCTTATTAGCCTTTGCAACGTATCAGGACCCGAAGTGGGTGGTGGCGTTGGCAACTGGTTGTCATATTCAGCTGAACAAAGAGTAATGACATCACTTTCACTCTTCTTTTTTAATTAAAAGTTGTTCGACAATTAATATTTTGCAAGTAAAAATGTTTGAGTCCTGGGCGCTGTGTGCTTGTGATTTTGCCCTTATGGAAGTTAGCGGAGTTTTAATTTTGACGTTTTCAAGTTACCATCATTATTAAATCCAGTCTTCACTTGAACACAAAAATGTAAATTACACGCAATGTTTTGTGTTTCCCGCGGTGACTCTACCAGCACCTCCTGACTCCAGTAGAGACAAGCGTGGACTTAGCGTCATCCTCCCGGCTCTGTGCCTTTCTTTTTCAGTTCTGTGCCTTCCTTTCTCGGCTCTGTGCCTTCCCCTCCCGGCTCTGTACCTTCCCCTCACGGCTCTGTGCCTTCCTCCCGGCTGCGGCTAAAGACGGGTTTACCTCCCCTCACAACAGTGGTGAGCCGCACAGATTATACCGCCATGTTAACAGCCCAAGTAATCTCAATATGGCAACACGGTTTGATTGATGAGACACATATTGATTATCCATCTATCGTAGCCGTAAATATAATATTCCCCTTAACTTAAACCATCACTAGCAAATAAATTATTTGAGAAATGTTACATTTTCTAGGAAATTTTGATACACGTAAATTGTGTAAAATGAATTACGAGGCTACGGGAGGCAGAGGTAGCCTCGCTAATGGGTCTTGCTGGCTCCAGCTTAATTTAGAGCATATACTGAATTTAAATGTAATGTCCTGATTTTTCATGTCTTGATAATATAACTGGCATACTGCAGTGCAAAGCATTTTAGGGGATAAAAACCTTAGCTGTACATTTTGTAGGACTTAATATGGGAATAAAGTTTACAATTTGTGTTTCCCCTGTAGTGTGTGTTGGCTCCTTGTTCTCTTTATGAGCATCAAGTATTGCGGCGGTTTCATATTCATGTATAAGTATATACAGTATATAAATATAATTTATATATATGTATAGTTTCAAAATTTCGTGACACTAGCAACAAGCATCTGTCCGCCATTTTGGGACAGACAAATAATTTGACAAAGAACACATTTTCTCTTATATGTATAGATTACACTACCGCTTAGTGTAGGGTGGTCTAAACTCGTGCAGGTAATAAATTATACCTTTTTCTATTCTTCAATATTGGCAAAACATATAATTCATACCCATGCCTTCAGTTCTGGCTCTTTCTCACCTGATCAGTCCTCTTCTATGAACTTTAGTTGCTGCCTGGAGGGTCATTATTAACTCCACGGGCTCTCATAGCTCTTGTGATTGCACCATTTTACTCCTATATAACTGTACCCAAAAAATCTTAGGGAATATTTTACCAAATATTTTATTTTAAACAATTTGCAGTGAAACTGGGGCTTTTTATCACAGGTATTTACAGTGTTTTGTGTCATGCATATTTTCATGCACCATGTTTTATGATTATTACATGTTAAAATGACTTGTGAATTTTTTATGGGAAAATATGGTGCTGAATAAGTAAGATCATTAGAGATCCTTTACTGCTAGAATCCACTCAGTAAAACATCTAAACTTCTGGGACCGACTAAAGAGCCTAAATCTGTATTCCCTTGAACGCAGGCGGGAGAGATACATAATAATCTATACGTGGAAAATAGTAGAGGGGCTGGTCACAGAAATAACCTGCACACAGAAATAACATCACATGAGACCAGGAGGCATGGCAGGATGTGCAGAATACCCCGTTGAAAAGAAGAGGTGCAACAGGTACTCTGAGAGAGAGCTCTATCAACATCAGAGGCCCGAGACTGTTCAACACGCTTCCACTACACATAAGGGACATAACTGGCCGACCCCTCACAGTGTTCAAGAGAGAACTATCAACATCAGAGGCCCGAGACTGTTCAACACGCTTCCACTACACATAAGGGACATAACTGGCCGACCCTCACAGTGTTCAAGAGAGAACTATCAACATCAGAGGCCCGAGACTGTTCAACACGCTTCCACTACACATAAGGGGCATAACTGGCCGACCCCTCATAGTGTTCAAGAGAGAACTTGATAAACACCTCCAAAGGAGACCTGATCAACCAGGTTGTGACTCATACGTCAGGCTGCGAGCAGCCACGTCCAACAGCCTGGTTGATCAGTCCAGCAACCAGGAGGCCTGGTCGACGACCGGGCTGAGGGGATGCTAAACCCTGGAAGCACCTCAAGGTAACCTCAAGGTCAAGGTAAGATGGTTGCAGCCCTTTGAGGCCAAAATGCCAACTTAACATTACCTAACTTGCTGTACTAAATTCCGCTCTGGACTCGCTGTACGTTTCCATTTCTAACACTTGACCAACAAGTCTCTCTCTGAATCCCACCGCTGCCACCATTGTTATGGCTGGCCCCGCTGCTCATACATTCTCGTTTGTCAATATTCCCTCACAAACAAACCCTCTCAGGAAGCAGTCACCTGGAGCAAATATGGTTTATTGGCCATAGAGTACAGTGAACGACCCAGTTATGACACAAGTCCAGGGTTATTGTGGTTGTATATGAAACTGTAGAAACTCCCACCATTTACCCCGCCGTCCAACTTCTAGTATTGTTCACCCAGAAGTTGTGTCGATGGTCGAGTTAGTGAAGCAAATCTTATATTTTGCTGAGCAATATTATGTGATCATTTACTACTTGATATTCTTGAGATCAATTGTATTACTTACCTCACACTATTGTTCAGAAACGGGAATTTTTAAGTATATAAAATGTTATGTTTTGAATATCTAATTTTTTTGGCATTTATATTTTTTGAGTCAAGGTTATTACTCAAATATGCACACTAAATGTAATTGTAGCAATCACTTATTAGGGTTCGGATGTTTTTATTTTGTATCGCCGTACATATATAGAATACAGAATGTGTGTTGACGATACGTATATGTTTGTCCGGTTATTAATATACTCAGATGTATTGTTAGTGTCTTCGTGGTCCCTGCTCGTGCTACTGTGTGTGTGTGTGCGTGTATACTCACCACATTGTACTCGCTTAATTGTGCTTGCGGGGGTTTAGCTTCGGCTCTTTGGTCCCGCCTCTCAACTGTCAATCAACTGTTGTATAGGTTCCTTAGCCTATTGGGTTCTACCAAATTTACATTTGAAACTGTGCAAAGAGTCTGCCTCCACCGCATCACTTCCCACATCACATTTGCTAACTACTCTAACACTGAAAAAGTTCTTTCTAATGTCTATTTGGTTCATTTGGGTACTCAATTTCTACCTGTGTCCCTTGTGCGATTACCACCCATTTTAAATAATCTGTCCTTATCTACCCTGTCAATTTCCCCTGAGAATTTTATATGTGGTGGTTATGTCTCCCCCGAACTCTTCAGTCTTCCAGCGACGTGAGGTGCAAATCATGCAGTCTTTCCTCGTAACTCATACCTCTTCGTTCTAGAACTAGTCTAGTGGCGTACCTTAAAACCTTCTCTAACTTCGACTTATGCTTGACAACGTAAGTGCGCCATGCTGGAGCCCCATACTCCAGGATAATTCATATATATTGAGAACCTTGTATACCACATACGTCCTCACACAGATTTCTAAGGGCAGTTCTGATGTTAGCCAGCCTCGCACACGCCGCTGATGACATCCTTGTGATATGGGCTTCAGGAGACATGTTCATTGTGACATCAACTCCTAGATCCTCCTCTGTCCATTTCATTAAGTATTTTGTCTCCCATCCGTTACCTTATGCCTGGCCTCCTGTTCCCTCCATCCAGCTTCATTACCTTACATTTACTTAAGTTGAATTTTAGTAGCCATTTGTTGGACCATTCCTTCAGTCTGTCCAGGTCATCCTGTACCCTCTTGCTATCTTCCTCGGTCTTAATCCTCTTCATCATTTTTGCATCCTCAGCAAACATTGAGAGAACGAGTCTATTCCCTCTGGGAACAGACTCGTTCTTCTCTAGACTCTTACTAGTATTCTAGTCTGTGTGTGCATGTTTGTGTGTGTGCACGCACTTCTTATGCAACTAACCCTTCATTTTTCAAAGGTTATTTCTTATTAGGTTATTATATTTATTTTCATATGAAAATATGTATATTGTTAAAGCTTCGTGATTTATCTTGTCAGAGCAGTTTGGTGGTGGCTTTTCTGTGTGTAGCAGAGGTCTCTGTCTCTGTTTCTCTGTTTCTCTCTCTCTCTCTCTCTCTCTCTCTCTCTCTCTCTCTCTCTCTCTCTCTCTCTCTCTCTCTCTCTCTCTCTCTCTCTCTCTCTCTCTCTCTCTCTCTCTCTCTCTCTCTCTCTCTCTCTCAAAATTATATTTGTATCATTAAGCAAGTTTGAACGTCAAAAAGCGTGCGGGTCAATATCTCCATCTTCATTAATGGAAGATTCTGGAAACTTCAACATAACGGCCCAGTTCGTTACTCGTAATACCTATAACGCGCGCTCATGCACAGGCGCGAGCGTGCGCAAGTGTACTCACCTAGTTGTGCTTGCGGGGGTTGAGCTCTGGCTCTTTGATCCCGCCTCCCAACCGTAAATCAACTGGTGTACAGATTCCTGAGCCTATTGGGCTCTATCATATCTACACTTGAAACTGTGTATGGAGTCAGCCTCCACCACATCACCCCCTAATGCATTCCATTTGTCAACCACTCTGACACTATAAAAGTTCTTTCTAATATCTCTGTGGCTCATTTGGGCGCTCAGAGGTGAGGAGTGAGGAAGAGCTGGCCATGGTCTCTTAGCGGCGGAGAAGGGACGCACCTCACCAGCCATATTGGATTAAAAGACAAAAAATATTGACCATTAGAAATCGATGATGATGATCTGGGTAATGGTGACGGCCATTAGCTTCATTGAAGTGTAACTTCAAGTGTAGATATGACAGAGCCCGATAGGCTCAGGAATCTGTACACCTGTTGATTGACGGTTGAGAGGCGGGACCAAAGAGCCAGAGCTCAACCCCCGCAAACACAACTAGGTGAGTACAACTAGGTGAGTACACACACACACACACACACACACACATCATCACACCTTTAACAAAAATACCATTTGTAAATTTGTTTTAAATACGAATGAAATATAATAAATTGTTGATATTAAGTTGCCTTTGTAGTTGTTGGATATAACTCTCCCGTTGTGGCCTCCGAACATCACTGTTTGGGACTTGATTCTCCAAGGGCGGTGGAAACGTCTTTTTGAATCTCTTATTTACTGAAACATGTTGGAATTAAAATTTTGTGTGGTTATATAAATCTTTAAGGTGAAAATGTAAATGGGGCAGGGGGGGGGGAGGGTAGCACTTACTGCTTGTGCGAAGAGCAGACACCGTGACGTCATAACCATGACCGTGACGTCATAACCATGGCCGTGACGTCGTAACTATGACCGTGACGTCATAACCAGGTGAAAGATGGCCCTCGTAGCGAGTGTGGATAACGAGGTGGTTCTCGGGGATGTACAGGGAGGTGTGAGCTGCTCCAGGTAAGAGATGTGTAGCTACCGGATGGGTGATCAGGGCCCAGATTCACGAAGCAGTTACGCAAGCACTTACGAACGTGTACATCTTTCCTCAATCTTTGACGGCTTTGGTTACATTTATTAAACAGTTTACAAGCATGAAAACTTGCCAATCAACTGTTGTTATTGTTATAAACAGCCTCCTGGTGCTTCGCAGCTCATTAACTGTTTAATAATTGTAAACAAAGCCGCCAAAGATTGAGAAAAGATGTACAGGTTCGTAAGTGCTTGCGTATCTGCTTCGTGAATCTGGCCCCAGGGCTGTAGGGGGGATGATGAGGGGAATTTTCCTTAGTTACTTAATCGCTCTTGCAAATGCACAGCAATGTATGCAAATGAGTGGCAATGTGTACTTAGTAAAGATGATATTTACATTGGATTAAAAACCCGAAACACTTGTGTATGTGTGAAATTTATTTAAGGAATTTACACCAAGTCTTTCGCACTCTCCTGAGTGCTTCGTCAAGGTCTGAGTGTGTTTGAATCCTATGTTATTATTATGTCTATAAGAAGACATTACCATTACTAATACCTACAGTGTTACCTGGGTTGTAAATCAATGAGGTTAAATAATGTTCCAGTCTTGGTGATGGGGACGACCATCTGAATATTATCATAATGCTATATTAATCTAAGGAGGTCTAGCGAGGTCTTCCGAGGAGGGGGAGAGAAGAGTAGTGCCTTCTGTCATGGTGGCCTGAGACGCCAGTTTCCGGCGCGAGAGCTGGTGGTCCGCGTGCCAGTGACAAGGAGTCATAGTCCTCCACCGTGGAACCCGTTCTCGCACTTTCTTTAAGTCAATATTGACTTATTAAATAAGTGCATATGTGACATACTAATTTATTGTGAATATTTTAGTTTACCTTGAAAAGCTTCATAGAAAATTAAAAAAATTAAAAAAATAGAAGCTCATGGTATTGGGGGTGCTATATTAAGCTGGATTAGGGCATGGCTATACCAAAGGAAACAGAGAGTTAGTATAAATGGAGTCAAGTCAGAGTGGGAAAATGTTGTAAGTGGAGTGCCTCAAGGCTCTGTCCTGGGACCTCTGTTGTTTATAATATATATATAAATGATTTAGATTGAGGTTTGAGTAGCAACATTTGCAAATTTGCCGATGATACGAAAATCGGTAGGGAAATTAATTCGGAGGAGGACTCACTATCACTTCAAGTTGATCTAGATAGGGTTTTGAAAGGTGTTGAACAACCGTGGACCTCTGATGTTTATACAGTGTTCTCTGATTGTGCCTATGGCACCTCTGCTCTTCACTGGTTCTATTCTGCATTTTCTTCCATATCGTTCACTCCAGTTCGTTGTTATTTTACTATGTAGATTTGGGACCTGTCCCTCCAGTATTTTCCACGTGTATATTATTTGGTATCTCTCTCGTCTCCTTTCTAGAGAGTACATTTGGAGGGCTTTGAGACGATCCCAATAATTTAGGTGTTTTATCTCGTCTATGCGTGCCGTATATGTTCTCTGTATTCCCTCTATTTCAGCAATCTCTCCTGCTCTGAAGGGGGAAGTGAGTACTGAGCAGTACTCAAGACGGGACAACACAAGTGATTTCAAGAGTACAATCATTGTATAAGCTTGCGCTGAGTGCACACACTCAGCCTATACTAGCACGCTGCTCCTTGCAACAACGGATCAGAGTGCAGTGTAACAGTTTACACTACTGGAATAGTTTACACTACTGGAATAGTTTACAGTTTACACTACTGGAATAGTTTACAGTTTACACTACTGGAATAAAATGTATGTTGCAATTTAAAAGTTGTTATGGTGTAGAAAGGGATAAATGCGTATTTTGTGGAGGTTAATTGAGGGATGAGCTGTAACAAGTGTGTGTAATTGGCGACCAGTGGCACTCGCTTAATTGCACTCTCCTTGCGGTGAGGGGCGGGGGGGTTGAGCTTCAGCTCTTTGGACCCGCCTCTCGACACTTTAATCAAGTGGTACACAGGTTCCTGAGCCTACTGGGGGCTCATATCTACACTTGAAACTGTGTATGGAGTCAGCCTCCACCACATCACTGCCTAATGCATTCCACTTGTTAACTACTCTGACACTGGATAGAAAGAATTATGTGGCTCATTTTGGTACTCAGGTTGCAGCTGTGTGCTCTTGTGCGAGTACCACCCGTGTTAGTCTTAGTCTACCCTACGTTTATCTACAGTAGGGTAGATAAAACAGTTTTATCTACCCTATCAACTCTCCCGAGAATCTTGTATGTAGTGATCATGGTGGCTGAGTACTGAGGCAGCTGAAGACGGCTGTGAGGCGAAGTAGTCTTACCTCTTGGGTGTTGGTGTCCCCTCGACCCCACTGTGGTACCTCTTGGTACCTCTTGGTACCTGTCTCTTTCCCTCTCCGATATTCCCCTAATACTGGTTTACTCTAAGACTAATACTGGTTGTAATAATACTAATCTAATACTGGTTTTAAATGTGGTGCTCTCTATAACATGTTCCAAGAGTACCTTGGTACCATTACTCTCTTGAAATACCAATAATTCCTACACTTGCTTCCACCTAATACACAGCATACCACCATCAAGTATACTGTATTTTAACATGATAACACCCTCACACTATATACCTTCTGTTATACTACGCGAAGTATACCAGGGGTGTATATTATCTCCCCCCCCCCCCCTTCCCCAACAGACCCGCCCGGAGCCCCGGTGATCACCGGTTATACCTCGGGGGAGGCGCTGGTGGAGGGGGAGCAGCGTACACTGATCTGCCAGGCTGTTGGTGGTAGGCCCCGGCCCTGGGTCACCTGGTACAGGCACGGCCGTCCACTCAAACCACCCTCAGCCACCCATCACCACCACCTGGTGATGGGTGACGACGTCACCACCACCACCAGCAGCAGCAGCAGCAGCAGCAGCAGCAGTAGCAGCAGCCAGGGGAGTGTGCGGCGCGGGGTGAGGGCCCAGCAGGTGGTGAGGGCGGTGAGAGAGGAAGATGGCGCCATGTATGAATGTAGAGTCACCAGTGATCTCCTTCAGCGGCCCCTGGCTACCAATGTCACTATCGCCGTGCACTGTAAGTTGTCCTCACTGTACGTTCTCACTGTACGTTCTCACTGTACACTCCCCCCTCACTGTAAGCTGTCTTAGGTGTAAACTGTATTATTGTCTGGGCTCTACACGGTAAAAGGTGGGGCCGAGTGTCAACTGGAAGTAATCCTGGGTGTACTGTTAACTGTGCTCTTCACTGTAATGGTTGATTGTTGGAGCTGTAACACGTTACATGCACTGATGTTCTGTATCTTATATGTAATGCCAGGCAGCCTTAGTGTGTTGCTTGTGTACTTAGTAGACACAAGTGTAGCTACCAGTGTACCAATCGCTACTGTTACACTTGTACTGTGTACCAGTGTAACAATCGCTACCGCCAGTGTAGCTAGCGATTGTTACACTGGTGGACCTTGTGTGTTGAGCGATTGTATCACTGGTGGGTCTTGTGTGTTGAGCGATTGTATCACTGGTGGGTCTTGTGTGTTGAGCGATTGTATCACTGGTGGACCTTGTGTGTTGAGCGATTGTATCACTGGTGGTCCTTGTGTGTTGAGCGATTGTTTCACTGGTGGACCTTGTGTGTTGAGCGATTGTTACACTGGTGGGTCTTGTGTGTTGAGCGATTGTTACACTGGTGGGTCTTGTGTGTTGAGCGATTGTTACACTGGTGGGTCTTGTGTGTTGAGCGATTGTTACACTGGTGGGTCTTGTGTGTTGAGCGATTGTTTCACTGGTGGGTCTTGTGTGTTGAACGATTATATCACTGGTGGACCTTGTGTGTTGAGCGATTGTATCACTGGTGGACCTTGTGTGTTGAGCGATTGTTACACTGGTGGCCCTTGTGTGTTGAGCGATTGTTACACTGGTGGCCCTTGTGTGTTGAGCGATTGTTACACTGGTGGCCCTTGTGTGTTGAGCGATTGTCTCACTGGTGGGTCTTGTGTGTTGAGCGATTGTATCACTGGTGGACCTTGTGTGTTGAGCGATTGTATCACTGGTGAACCTTGTGTGTTGAGCGATTGTTACACTGGTGGCCCTTGTGTGTTGAGCGATTGTTACACTGGTGGACCTTGTGTGTTGAGCGATTGTTTCACTGGTGGACCGTGTGTGTTGAGCGATTGTTTCACTGGTGGGTCTTGTGTGTTGAGCGATTGTTTCACTGGTGGGTCTTGTGTGTTGAGCGATTGTATCACTGATGGACCTTGTGTGTTGAGCGATTGTATCACTGGTGAACCTTGTGTGTTGAGCGATTGTTACACTGGTGGCCCTTGTGTGTTGAGCGATTGTTACACTGGTGGACCTTGTGTGTTGAGCGATTGTTTCACTGGTGGACCTTGTGTGTTGAGCGATTGTTTCACTGGTGGGTCTTGTGTGTTGAGCGATTGTTTCACTGGTGGGTCTTGTGTGTTGAGCGATTGTATCACTGGTGGACCTTGTGTGTTGAGCGATTGTTACACTGGTGGACCTTGTGTGTTGAGCGATTGTATCACTGGTGGACCTTGTGTGTTGAGCGATTGTATCACTGGTGAACCTTGTGTGTTGAGCGATTGTTTCACTGGTGGACCTTGTGTGTTGAGCGATTGTATCACTGGTGGACCTTGTGTGTTGAGCGATTGTATCACTGGTGGACCTTGTGTGTTGAGCGATTGTTACACTGGTGGCCCTTGTGTTTTGAGCGATTGTTACACTGGTGGCCCTTGTGTGTTGAGCGATTGTCTCACTGGTGGACCTTGTGTGTTGAGCGATTGTATCACTGGTGAACCTTGTGTGTTGAGCGATTGTTACACTGGTGGCCCTTGTGTGTTGAGCGATTGTTACACTGGTGGACCTTGTGTGTTGAGCGATTGTTACACTGGTGGACCTTGTGTGTTGAGCGATTGTTACACTGGTGGACCTTGTGTGTTGAGCGATTGTTTCACTGGTGGACCTTGTGTGTTGAGCGATTGTATCACTGGTGGACCTTGTGTGTTGAGCGATTGTATCACTGGTGGACCTTGTGTGTTGAGCGATTGTATCACTGGTGGACCTTGTGTGTTGAGCGATTGTATCACTGGTGGACCTTGTGTGTTGAGCGATTGTTACACTGGTGGACCTTGTGTGTTGAGCGATTGTTACACTGGTGAGTCTTTTTTTTTGTGCCTGAGCCTTTGGGAGTTTCCGTCACTATACATTACCACGTGTCAGTGTGTCGTGACGCGAGCCCAACGTTGAAATTACAATATAGTGTGAAAAAGCAGCGGCGGAAGTAGGAGAGAGAGAGGACATGGAAGATGTTTTAACAGCTGCTCCCTATGTACAGCTGTTCCATATGTACAGCTGCTCCCTATGTACAGCTGCTCCCTATGTACAGCTGCTCCATATGTACAGCTGCTCCATATGTACAGCTGCTCCCTATGTACAGCTGTTCCATATGTACAGCTGCTCCCTATGTACAGCTGTTCCATATGTACAGCTGTTCCATATGTACAGCTGCTCCCTATGTACAGCTGTTCCATATGTACAGCTGTTCCATATGTACAGCTGTTCCATATGTCCAGCTGCTCCATATGTACAGCTGTTCCATATGTACAGCTGCTCCATATGTACAGCTGCTCCATATGTACAGCTGCTCCATATGTACAGCTGCTCCATATGTACAGCTGTTCCATATGTACAGCTGCTCCCTATGTACAGCTGTTCCATATGTACAGCTGCTCCATTTGTATAGCTGCTCCCTATGTACAGCTGCTCCCTATGTACAGCTGTTCCATATGTACAGCTGCTCCCTATGTACAGCTGTTCCATATGTACAGCTGCTCCATTTGTACAGCTGCTCCATATGTACAGCTGCTCCATTTGTACAGCTGCTCCATTTGTACAGCTGTTCCATATGTACAACTGCTCCATATGTACAGCTGCTCCATATGTACAGCTGCTCCATTTGTACAGCTGCTCCCTATGTACAGCTGCTCCCTATGTACAGCTGCTCCATATGTACAGCTGCTCCCTATGTACAGCTGCTCCATATGTACAGCTGCTCCATTTGTACAGCTGCTCCATTTGTACAGCTGCTCCATTTGTACAGCTGCTCCATTTGTACAGCTGTTCCATATGTACAACTGCTCGATATGTACAGCTGCTCCATATGTACAGCTGCTCCATTTGTACAGCTGCTCCATATGTCCAGCTGCTCCCTATGTACAGCTGTTCCATATGTACAGCTGCTCCCTATGTACAGCTGTTCCATATGTACAGCTGCTCCATTTGTACAGCTGCTCCATATGTCCAGCTGCTCCATATGTCCAGCTGTTCCATATGTACAGCTGCTCCATTTGTACAGCTGCTCCATATGTCCAGCTGTTCCATATGTCCAGCTGCTCCATATGTACAGCTGCTCCATATGTACAGCTGCTCCATATGTACAGCTGCTCCATATGTACAGCTGTTCCATATGTACAGCTGCTCCATTTATACAGATGCCCCGACCAGTGTGGTGGTGTACGGTCCATCTGTGGTGGCGGCCGGACAGCTGTTCTCTCTCACCTGTCGTTCCTCACCGGCCAACCCTCCCTCCACCCTCACCTGGCACCTTCAAGGTCAGTGTCAACACGTCTCCCAAAAAGATCAAACACTACAATGTTGACCAGACCACACACTAGAAGGTGAAGGGACTACGACATGTCGGTCCGTCCTGAAGAATGGTCCAGGACGGACCGAAACGTCGTCGTCCTTTCACCTTCTAGTGTGTGGTCTGGTCAACATTCTTCAGCCACGTTATTGTGACTCCTCCCCTGCAAAAACAGTGCTAGATTAATACAGTTTGTATTAACCGAACGAGTGTATACTGTATGTTATAGATTTGGCCGGTTGCTTGGCCACCATTCTAACTTGAATTATACACTCCTTGATTGACTCTCCAGCTGGTTGATTCATTTGGAGATTAGTAACTTGTTAATTGCTTAACCTATTTGTTCGTTTAACTACTTGATATCTTGACTCGTTCCGTGAATGATTAGTTGACTGATTAGGTCATTAGTCAGGGAACTTGATTCAAAATATCTTGACCTGGCATTATTTGATGAACTAGTGTGTTAGGAAGCTCAGTAGATGACAATATTGACTGATTAAGCTGTAAACTGATTAATTGACGTATTTAATTATTATTTAATTGGGGCATATATTACTTATGTATTTAAAAGTTATTTTTTTAATTAATGAATCTTGCAAGTCATTACAGGTGTGGCTGAAGTGAAGAGGTGAACAGGTGTGGCTGGAGTGAACAGGTGTGGCTGGAGTGAACAGGTGTGGCTGGAGTGAACAGGTGTGGCTGGAGTGAACAGGTGTGGCTGGAGTGTACAGATGTGGCTGGAGTGAACAGGTGTGGCTGGAGTGTACAGATGTGGCTGGAGTGAACAGGTGTGGCTGGAGTGAACAGGTGTGGCTGGATTGTACAGGTGTGGCTGGAGTGAACAGGTGTAGCTGGAGTGAACAGGTGTGGCTGGAGTGAACAAGTGTGGCTGGAGTGAACAGGTGCGACTGGAGTGAACAGGTGTGGCTAGAGTGAACAGGTGTGGCTGGAGTGAACAAGTGCGGCTGGAGTGAACAGGTGTGGCTGGAGTGAACAGGTGTGGCTGGAGTGAACAGGTGTGGCTGGAGTGAACAGGTGTGGCTGGAGTGAACAGGTGCGGCTGGAGTGAACAGGTGTGGCTGGAGTGAACAGGTGCGGCTGGAGTGAACAGGTGTGGCTGGAGTGAACAGGTGTGGCTGGAGTGAACAGGTGTGGCTGGAGTGAACAGGTGTGGCTGGAGTGAACAGGTGCGGCTGGAGTGAACAGGTGCGGCTGGAGTGAACACGTGCGGCTGGAGTGAACACGTGCGGCTGGAGTGAACAGGAGTGGCTGGAGTGAACAAGTGCGGCTGGAGTGAACAGGTGCGGCTGGAGTGAACAGAGTGGCTGGAGTGAACAAGTGTGGCTGGAGTGAACAGGTGCGGCTGGAGTGAACAGGTGCGGCTGGAGTGAACAGGTGCGGCTGGAGTGAACAGGTGCGGCTGGAGTGAACAGGTGCGGCTGGAGTGAACAGGTGCGGCTGGAGTGAACAGATATGACTGGAGTGAACAGATGCAAATTAACGTGGTGATTGTACTTGTGGTCAGGGTCGGTGTTGTCGCCGGCGGCGTCGGTGGTGAGCGAGGCGGAGGAGGGCGGGTACGTGACTTCGGCCCACCTCACCCACACCATGCCCACCACCCACCAGGTGGTCCAGGCCGCCGCTGACTGCCAGGCTACCCACCCGGCCGCCCACCACCCCATCACCTACACCCACCTCATCACCGTCATCAGTGAGTGAACCCTTGAGGAATAGGTTGGGCATGGGTCCTTGACTTGGGCACAACAATCAGGGGGGTTCTGTCCCCTCCCGCTACAATCACAGTACTCACCTAGTTGTGCTTGCGGGGGTTGAGCTCTGGCTCTTTGGTCCCGCCTCTCAACTGTCAATCAACTGGTGTACAGATTCCTGAGCCTATTGGGCTCTATCAAATCTACATTTGAAACTGTGTATGGAGTCAGCCTCCACCACATCACTGTCTAATGCATTCCACCTGTTAACTACTCTGACACTGAAAAAAATTCTTTCTAATGTCTCTGTGGCTCATTTGGGTCCTAGGTTTCCACCTGTGTCCCCTTGTTCGTGTCCCACCCGTGCTGAAGAGTTTGTCTTTGTCCACCCTGTCAATTCCCCTGAGAATTTTGTAGGTGGTTACCATGTCTCCCCTTACTCTTGTGTCCCGTAGCCTTTTCTCGTAGCTCATACCTCTCAGTTCTGGGGACTAGTCTGGTGGCATACCGCTGAATCTTCTCTAACTTTGTCTTGTGTTTAACTAGCTATGGACTCCAGGCTGGAGCTGCATACTCCAGGATTGGTCTGACATCAATGGGACACCTTAATTGTTTACATTGTAACTCATCATCACAAAATACAGTTTTCGGTGTGAAGTTCCTTGGCATTAGTATACCACGGGTTGCCGTTAAGAACTGAGTGAGTATACCTCTCCGGCTACGACCTGGCAGCTGTCGCCATCTGTGGAGGGGGTGGGAGATGCCCCGGGAGAGTCGAGTATACTATATCAATACGCCGGAAACACTTGACAAATGGTTCTATCATAGTAACCAATAACCTATATCGCAGACTATTTCGTCACGCTCTACAGGAATGAGAGGACGATATTCAAGAGCCATATTGACGCGGTGGCTGGGGTAGGGGGGAGGGGGTAGAGGCAGGTTGTGGCGCGCGGGACTTTGGACAATCTGTCGTTCATCTGGGAATGGAGAGAAGGGCAGCCATATTAAATTGCTGCCGCCGGGACCGGAGGGACGTGTAGGCTTTCGGACGGGGTCGCCATCACTGGAGCACCGTTTAGGACCCAGGAGGAGCCGCCATGGTGCTCCACAGCCATGCACACAGCAGAGTTGTTTGTTACGGAAAGAGGCCAGTTGTCTGCTGTTGCAACAGTTGCAGACAGGAAGACAACATTGCTGGGGTAAGGCAGAGTGCCTCACGGCGACTCAAATACTATTATTCATGTCAGTCTAAACACAAGAAACAAATACTGATAAGGTCACTCGATTATTCCTCTGGGCTAACAGATTAAATATTATATCTTTGTTATTATTATTATTATTAAACACAAGGAAATGACATTAACGTGGGCGCGACCCTACGACCCCCCGACATTGCCAAGTCGCGTACTCTACCACTAGACCACCGTGACTTGCCAAGTCATACAACCGGATTCCTACTGAAATCACAGGAAGTCTGGAGGATGTATGTCCAAGTGTTTACGTATGAGCCACAAGCACTCAGGTGGAAGGGCAGAGTGGACCCACACTTTACTCCGCAACTTCAGAAACACACAAATCACACAGCACACAAGGAAATGTATATGTTTATCTCTCAGAATGTTTGGTAATATGTTTATTGTTTGTGATGTGTGTATATGTATGTATTAACACGATGTACTGAACGGGGTGAGAATAGCTTGAGCTACCTCATCCCTTTGTGTGTATTTGACCTCAATAAACTTATTTCAATTTCAATTTCACAGCACACACAGAAAGAAGGTCGTAGGTTCACGCCCACCTCAATGCCCTAGTGGATTTTCTCATTATTATTATTATTATTATTATTATTATTATTATTATTATTATTATTGTCATTCACACTTCCTTGGAAATAAACATTTCATTCTCCTGGACTCTAGGAGACTCGAATCTCGGACCCCATACGCGCCCAGTTATTGCCTTTAATTATGTACTTGCCATGAGAAATATGCCCTTCATTCTAATATATGAAAGAGACATATTGGCACAATATGGTCCAATATAGAGGTGAAGGTGGAGGTTCCCAGCGCCATTATAGGAGCAGTCTCCCTCTCTCAAGGAGCGGCTCACAGCGCACCTATCACATCATCTGGGTGTAAACTGGAGTTCGTGTTGGTTGTGAAGATGACGAATTAGGTGCAAAGGAATAAACGGAAGTCATATATATAGAGTTAATTGTTTGTATAGGATTTGATCACATTATATATGATAAAGGGGGATTTCTGTTTGGGTGTTGTTGGTTGGAGGCCAGACACATATCTCACCCAACTTTACAGGTTAACTGGTGGGGAGATGCGGGGATTGTTACACGTTGGTCGGGATCGATCCCATTGTCCCCCCTTTAAGGGGATTCGCCCCTATGATGCCCCCATGAAATCGGTGGAGATGAAATGGTGGGCCGCTGACTCTATAATTTAATAATCTTTTCATAGTATTCAGAATTGGGATATGCGTGTGCAGGAGGCTGTATGGTATCAGGGGAGTGATCAACCAGGCTGTGACTCATACGTCAGGCTGCGAGCAGCCGCGTCCAACAGCCTGGTTGATCAGTCCAGCAACCAGGAGGTCTCGTCGACGACCGGGCCACGGGGACGCTAAGCCCCGGAAGCACCTCAAGGTAACCTCAAGGTAAGGTTGTCTGATGCCAGCTTTGCCCCCCCCCCCTTCCCAGGCCTCCCAAACCTGAAAAGATGCAACCTCCTTTTGGGGGGTCAACCCGACAACCCCCGGATACCCCCATCTAGTAGGAACAGAAACGATTGGGCGTGTTTCCTTTCATCTGATGCCACAGTTCACCCTAACAGTAAAAACAGGTACCCGGGAGCTAGGGAACTGTTGTGGAACGCATCCTGGAGATAGTCACACGTTTGTTTTCCTTCTTTATATAATCCCTCTTATATTTATTGTGAATTTTTAACATGTTGCAGATTTTATGACATACAAATAAATAGCAATGATTTGGTTCGTGAGGGTCCGTCTAATTACCACAAGCTGCACAAGCTTCACAAAGCTTCCTGGCAATACGTTAGTAATGAATAAATATGATATGTTAAGTTAGGCTGACCTAACCTAACCTAACCTAACCTAACCTAACTAAACCAAACCTAACCTAACCTAACCTAACCTAACCTAACCTAACCTAACTAAACCAAACCTAACCTAACCTAACCGAAGCGTGGATCGTCGACTTGATTTGGCGTCACCAGCTTTTTATTTTCGTCTAATTTCTTTATAAAAAGATACTTTTTCAGATTAAAATTATGTTTTTTCGTGTTGTACATTCAGCACCAACATTATAATGAGTAAATATATCATATTTATTCATTACTAACGTATTGCCAGGAAGCTTTCTGAAGCTTGTGTAGCTTGTGGTAATTAGACGGACCGGTTCGTGAGTTTCGTATATGGCTGTTGTTTTAGGCAGACATGAGTGTGGTAGGAGCGAGTGGTGGGTGTTGTGGTGTTGTGGTGTTAATGTTGTGGTGTTGTGGTGTGGTGTTGTGGTGTGGTGTTGATGTTGTAGTGTTGTGGTGTTCATGGTGTGGTATTGTTGTTCACCTGCAGGGCGTCCCGGCTGGCCGGTAGTGGAGGTGGTGGGGGGTGGGGAGGTGGTGGCTGGCGGCCAGGTGACTGTCCTCTGTACTTCCCAGGGCGGCAACCCTCCCCCAGTACTCAGGTAAGTACCGTTGTGTGTTGTTGTTATAGATGCAGCTACTCGGAACAAGTTGCAAGTAGCACGGGCTAAGGTGAGCCCGCAGTGGACTTACCTGGCACAGGAGCGGGGCAAGTAGCTCGGGCTATGGTGAGCCCGTAGTGGACTTACCTGGCACCGGAGCGGATCCAGGGTAAGTACCTTCACCCCCTCACTATACTCTACTCCAGTACTGAGGTACTGTACTTCCACCCTCCAACCCTCACTATTTATTTATTTACATACATGAAGGTATATTGGGTGTGTGAGGATACATAGCATAGTGTTTACAGTCTTGTAAAGCCACTAGTACGCGCAGCGTTTCGGGCAGGTCCTTATCTAACAGATAATTTCAAGTAGGTAAATTCTAGTAATATTTATCAAATGTTAACAGGTACATTGTAAGAAAAAACGAAAGATTAGGTATATTAAAGCACATCGATAGCTCTGAGTGACAGCATTGACAGCTTGATTGATAATTTAACGAAGATTAATAGGCACAATACAGCATATTGATAGCATATACAAGACGACAGCAATAATCACAATGGTAAAGTTCTTTGGATTAGGTACATGAAGATTGGAAGATTGGGTAGCACTAGATACAGTGCAAGATTAAAGCACAAGGTAGGAAACTATGAAGATGAAATTTGGTACTTTTTGCTTTTGTTTTTGAATGAGGCAAAAGTTGGACAGCTTTTCAATTCATTCGGAAGTGAGTTCCATAGACCAGGTCCCTTTATTTGCATAGAGTGTTTACACAGATTCAGTTTGACTCTGGGGATATCAAAGAGATATTTATTTCAGGACTACTCTCCTTCAGTACTGAGGTGAGTACCTTCACCCCCTCCCCCCCTTACTCTTGTAGAGTGTATATGGTTCAAGTGTGTACATCATTACAATGTGTAAACTATGATGCAGGGTATACATTGTGCTGCATGTTGTACACCTTAACATTGTACACTGATGTACCAAATACATTATTCTACGTATATTATTGTGGGGGTTTATAGTGTTGCAGGTTGTACAAGGCAGGGTGTAGTGTGTTACAAGGTGTGTACTGTTGCAGGTTGTACAAGGCAGGGTGTAGAGTGTTACAAGGTGTGTACTGTTACAGGTTGTACAAGGCAGGGTGTAGTGTGTTACAAGGTGTGCACTGTTGCAGGCTGTACAAGGCAGGGTGTAGTGTGTTACAAGGTGTGCACTGTTGCAGGTTGTACAAGGCAGGGTGTAGTGTGTTACAAGGTGTGCACTGTTGCAGGCTGTACAAGGCAGGGTGTAGTGTGTTACAAGGTGTGCACTGTTGCAGGCTGTACAAGGCAGGGTGTAGAGTGTTACAAGGTGTGCACTGTTGCAGGCTGTACAAGGCAGGGTGTAGTGTGTTACAAGGTGTGCACTGTTGCAGGCTGTACAAGGCAGGGTGTAGAGTGTTACAAGGTGTGCACTGTTGCAGGCTGTACAAGGCAGGGTGTAGTGTGTTACAAGGTGTGCACTGTTGCAGGCTGTACAAGGCTGGGTGTAGAGTGTTACAAGGTGTGCACTGTTGCAGGCTGTACAAGGCAGGGTGTAGTGTGTTACAAGGTGTGCACTGTTGCAGGCTGTACAAGGCTGGGTGTAGAGTGTTACAAGGTGTGCACTGTTGCAGGCTGTACAAGGCAGGGTGTAGTGTGTTACAAGGTGTGCACTGTTGCAGGCTGTACAAGGCTGGGTGTAGAGTGTTACAAGGTGTGCACTGTTGCAGGCTGTACAAGGCAGGGTGTAGTGTGTTACAAGGTGTGCACTGTTGCAGGCTGTACAAGGCTGGGTGTAGAGTGTTACAAGGTGTGCACTGTTGCAGGCTGTACAAGGCAGGGTGTAGTGTGTTACAAGGTGTGCACTGTTGCAGGCTGTACAAGGCTGGGTGTAGAGTGTTACAAGGTGTGCACTGTTGCAGGCTGTACAAGGCTGGGTGTAGTGTGTTACAAGGTGTGCACTGTTGCAGGCTGTACAAGGCAGGACAGCAGGTGACAGTGAGTGTGGAGGAGCGAGAGGACGGGGTGACGGAGGCGCGGGCCCACCTGCTGGTCACTCCCGCTGATAATGGTCAGCAGGTGATGTGTCAGGTCACCAACCCGGCCACCAACACCCCCATGACGGCCCACACCACCATAAACCTTCTCTGTAAGTGTCTCTCTCTTTCTGCCTCTCTGTCTCTCTCTCTCTCTGTCTCTCTCTCTGTCTCTCTCTCTCTCACCGCATGAAGAAAAGGTCCTCATTCCCTCGGCTCCTTTCTTCCACGATTGTGCAGGTGGAAGGCTGTCATCATAGCAAACAGGTGCAATAGAAGCACAAAAAAACTGTAATTATTGAACTCCGTGACCAGGTATGGCAATATTTGTTTACATTGGGCAGTCATCTTGAATTTCATTTGGGGCAGTTACCTTTGTTGCCAACGGAGAAGGCAGGTGGTGGAGTGAGACAGGGTCATTGTAACGCAGCTCATAGGCGGAAATGGAGGTGTTGGCTCAAGATGTAACACAGGTCGAAAAATGAGAGGAATGGCCAGGATGTTGTCGTAGGAAGGCAGGCAGAAGGACGCTACGAGGAGACAGGTGAGGTTCCTTAGACAAAGTTAATCTTGGACATTACATAACAGTGATCAAAGACATTGGAGACCTTGTGGGGAGGGATGGGGTGGGGGGGAGGTTGAATATGAACCAGGCACTCCTAATGTCCCAGTGAGCACAATACCCAAGTGTTAATTTACCCAAGTTAATTCAACGTTAAATCTTGGAAACTGGGCCCACAGGGCCGCGGGTTACCAAGGAAGTTGAAACAGGGAAATGGTTGCTGACCAACGCGGCCAAGTTATACAGTTCACAGGGAATCAGAAATGGCAACATTCGTAATCCTGTGATCGTTAAAGAAATTGTTGACAGGAATTAAGTCCATTATAGCTTTTGTGTCCCTGGAACCTCTTCAAGGTTGATGTGTGGGGGAGGGGGAAGGTGTATTCACCTAGTTGTGCTTGCGGGGGTTGCCCTCTGCTCTTTCGGGCCGCTTCTCAACTGTCAGTTTTTATTCCACACACACACACACACACACACACACACACACACACACACACACACACACACACACACACACACACACACACACACACACACACACACACACACACACACACGCACGCAGATAGCAGCCCATAACAGCTGTCTAACTCCCAGGTTCCTATTTACTGCTAGGTGCCAGGGGCATCAGGGTGAAAGAAACTCTGCCCATTGGTTTCCGCCATCGCCGAAAATCGAACACGGACCCAACGATTACGAGTCCCAAGCGCTGTCCACTCAACCACAGGCACCCCCCACCATTCAGTTGTGTACATATAGAAATATATATATATATATATATATATATATATATATATATATATATATATATATATATATATATATATATATATATATATCGCCTTGCATATATCAGGGTTGAATCTCAGGAGCCACCAATCATTTATGTACTGTGTATTAACGAAGATAAATATATTACACATTCACACACACACTTATATTATATATATATATATATATATATATATATATATATATATATATATATATATATATATATATATATATATATATATATATACATATATATATATACATATAAATATATATATATATATATATATATATATATACATTATATATATTTATATATATACATATATATATATATACATATAAATATATATATATATATATATATATATATATATATATATATATATATATATATATATATATATATATATATATATATATATATATATATATATATATATATATATATATATATAATATATATAATATAAGTGTGTGTGTGAATGTGTAATTTATTTATCTTCGTTAATACACAGTACATAAATGATTGGTGGCTCCTGAGATTCAACCCTGATATATGCAAGGCGATGAAAATCACCCGGAGGTAGACATCACACAAAATGTTTTGACAGACTTAAAACAGGTTAACAAATAATGATGAGAAGTCTTGAGGGATGTCCACACCGAGGTTGACCTTGGACACCGTATAGTTGGACCCGTGACACAGTCCCGGGACTCATATACTGTAGTATGAGAGTGCGCAGTGTAAGGGGTAAGTAAGTAAAGGGTAAAGATTCAGGGCCCAGGAGCCAGAACTCGACCCCCCTTTCAAACACAATGCCAAGAAGCTGGCCAAGAAAATGCCCAGAAGCTTGCCAAGAAAATGCCCAGAAGATTGCCAAGAAAATGCCCAGAAGCTTGCCAAGAAAATGCCCAGAATCTTTTTACTCTGAAAATATTGAAGAGGTAAACATGTTGACCTTAGCTGTGCCTCTGTTGCACCGACCTACTGCAAGAAACCTGGCCGGCTTCCCTGGGAACCTTGTTTGCATTCAAGGGATCTCGCCCCCCCCCCACGTTGAGTGCGTGCGTGCGTGCGTGCGTGCCACACTTGCAGCAGGGAATATACTCCCCCTTGCAGCAGTGGGGGGGGGGGGGTATATTTCCCCTGAGCACGGTAATATATCAAGTGAATAAGTTGATGTTTGGTGCGGTAAGAGTGTGGTTGTTAGTGGTGCGTGTGGTGGCGTGGTGCGTGTGGTGGGGTGGTGCGTGTGGTGGGGTGGTGCGTGTGGTGGGGTGGTGCGTGTGGTGGAGTGGTGCGTGTGGTGGCGTGGTGCGTGTGGTGGGGTGGTGCGTGTGGTGGAGTGGTGCGTGTGGTGGCGTGGTGCGTGTGGTGGAGTGGTGCGTGTGGTGGGGTGGTGCGTGTGGTGGGGTGGTGCGTGTGGTGGGGTGGTGCGTGTGGTGGCGTGGTGCGTGTGGTGGAGTGGTGCGTGTGGTGGGGTGGTGCGTGTGGTGGCGTGGTGCGTGTGGTGGAGTGGTGCGTGTGGTGGAGTGGTGCGTGTGGTGGGGTGGTGCGTGTGGTGGGGTGGTGCGTGTGGTGGAGTGGTGCGTGTGGTGGCGTGGTGCGTGTGGTGGAGTGGTGCGTGTGGTGGAGTGGTGCGTGTGGTGGAGTGGTGCGTGTGGTGGGGTGGTGCGTGTGGTGGGGTGGTGCGTGTGGTGGAGTGGTGCGTGTGGTGGAGTGGTGCGTGTGGTGGGGTGGTGCGTGTGGTGGGGTGGTGCGTGTGGTGGAGTGGTGCGTGTGATGGGGTGGTGCGTGTGGTGGGGTGGTGCGTGTGGTGGGGTGGTGCGTGTGGTGGAGTGGTGCGTGTGGTGGAGTGGTGCGTGTGGTGGAGTGGTGCGTGTGGTGGGGTGGTGCGTGTGGTGGAGTGGTGCGTGTGGTGGAGTGGTGCGTGTGGTGGGGTGGTGCGTGTGGTGGAGTGGTGCGTGTGGTGGCGTGGTGCGTGAGGTGGCGTGGTGTGTGTGGTGGAGTGGTGCGTGTGGTGGCGTGGTGCGTGTGGTGGGGTGGTGCGTGTGGTGGAGTGGTGCGTGTGGTGGGGTGGTGCGTGTGGTGGAGTGGTGCGTGTGGTGGAGTGGTGCGTGTGAGTAGGGGAAACCGGGCCAAGTACGTGCTATTTTGGTTTTTTCCCACGCACGTACTTGGCCCCTGGGTTTTACGAACTTTTTTTCCCACGCACGTACTTGGCCCCTGGGTTTTACGAATTTTTTTTCCCACGCACGTACTTGGCCCCTGGATTTTACGAACTTTTTTTCCCACGCACGTACTTGGCCCCTGGATTTTACGAACTTTTTTTCCCACGCACGTACTTGGCCCCTGGGTTTTACAAACTTTTTTTCCCACGCACGTACTTGGCCCCTGCCATTTTCGCTCAAGGGGATTAAACAGCCGGCTCCTGGCCCCATCATATTTCGTTACCTGAGCAACCCTGCACAGGCATCGCTAATGGATAATGACGTCACCCCCGTCTTCATTTTCCCTGTATAAGTCCGTTTTCTGTTACAGTGTAATTATTCCCATTTTCAATATTTGTAGCAAAGGGGGATTCAAATGCTGCCTTCTGTCAAGCCTAATGTGCAATGGCGTTAATCATTATAAGCTCGTTTTTCTCAATAAGGTATTGCCGTACTGTTTCCCATTGTCTAAGATCATTTTATAGCTAAGATTACATAATAATAACATAAGAAATAACTTCAAACCCTGTTTACAGAACCAGTATTTTCCCAGGTCTTTTTCCTAAATCTAAAACTTATTCCAATTTATGTCCATTGTATCATGTTCTGTCTAGTGTTGATAATTTTATTAGTCTATTAATATTCCCCCTTTATCATGTCCATTCATTCACAGCTCTATCATGTCACCTCTATTTCTTTGCCTTTCTAGAGAATGTAATTTAAGCTTTGTCAATCTTTCTTCAGAAATTGCTTATTGAGCATAGGGCAAAATAAAAATGAAAACTTACTATCTCTCATTTGTATGAAAACAGACCCCTGCCAGGTGTAGTGACTTTAATGCGATTTCAGTACTAATCCAATATTACTGTAAAAACTAACAGTCCCCTGCCAGGCATGGTGACTTCAATGCGATTTCAGTACTAATCCAACATTACTGTATAAACTAACAGTCCCCTGCCAGGCATGGTAACTTCAATGAAAAGCAAGCCTCTCATGTTTTGAAATAAGGCCTTCGTTTCTGACGTCATCATCCCTAATGTGGCGCGAGGCGTCAACCGACTAAATCCGGGTCCCAGGAGGTTCACACATAAGTGTGAACTCTTAATCAGGCTTAATACCTCACCTATACTCTATGCTTCATCAGAGTTGATATTCAGCTACAATAGCTCGTATTTTCGCTCATTGCTTATATTTTCTGTTATTCATAACCCTAAAAACCATCCTAACCTAACCTATCCTAACTTATTATATATATTTAACAAACAAATACATTCTACAGACCAGTTATTGTTGTTGTTTAGTGACATCGTGAAAAGCGACCTCAGGTATATGGATAAGGTATTAATGGTCATTAGCATATAGGTGTGAAGGTATTACAGTACCTTACTGGTCAACTATGTATGACGTCACCAGACAACCAATGCGACCTTTGGCGTCCTACTGGCATGAGTATTTGATGTTATTATTAAAAAATGACTAGACTATCCATCCCCACTTAACCTAATCAGAGATTTAAGAACATACATTTTAGTCATCCGCAACTGTAATCATTCATTATGCAGT